AAATATTTTCATCACCACTTTACAGATAAGATAACCAAGGTCCAGAGAAACGACACTGTCCTAGAGCAGGGACTGAGCCATCAGTCCTTCGGCTTCAAGTCCTAGGCCATCAGGTGCAGCTTTCCATCATTCCCCTGTGTAGGGAAACACAGGAATTTCAGTCTCATTACTGCTGTTCACGGTAAGCAGAGAAAGGATTACAGTGTTCAGCCCTGGTATAATTTTTGTAATCATCTGGAAGATCTTTAACCTGCATGTCCATACCTAGGCCCAGCCCTGATTAATTAAATTAGAGTTTCCTCTGGAGTGACTCCCCAGGTAGATTGTGTGCTTTTATAAAAGATCCTCCCTTCCCCTCCCTCATTGATTCTAATGTAAAGCAGGGGTTGAGATCCACTGAGTTACTTCTTCCATTATTGTAGTGGTTCTCCAAGTGTGGTCCCTAGACCAGATACATCAGCATCACCTGGGAACTAGTTAGAAATGCAGATTATCAGTCCCCACCCCCCAGATCTACTGAATCAGAAACTTGAAGTATAGAGCCTAGATTTTAAGATTAGGCTCAAATGTATGTGTCAGACAACTCAGTAACTGTGTTTAAGGGCAGTTTCTCTCTCATGTAAAAGCAGTCTAGAAGCAGATGTGGTGTTCCTTGGTGTTAAAGATCCTAATTCCTTCTCTTTTGTTGCTCTTCCATTAGGACATGGCTTTCTCCTCATAGTGCAAGATGGCAGCTTAAGTTCCAGCTGTCACTTCTCAATTCCAATCAACAGAAAGGAGGAAGTACAAGAGGCAAAGGTACTCCCCTTAGTCCTACTTTAATGACTTGAGGTTATATCATAATGACCAGTATTTAGCATTTGTAGAGTCTGGCAAATGTGTTATGTTTTTGAGAGACTGTGTGCCCACCTAAAAATTATAGAACTCTTTCTGAGAAAGAATGGAGACTAAATAATGGATGACAACAAGCAGTCTTTTCCAGAGCTTAACTAACTGCATTTTCCCTACCTGCCAAGTTCTTAAGTGAGATCATAAATGTCATTATGGTTTGAACCACTTTTGGTTTGCTTTTGTAACTGATGTACCTTGTTTCATTAGCTTTTCCACTGTGTTAACAATGGAAAATCTTAGATTGTGTGGCTGAACCATGATTTAGTTAACTTTTTCCTTAGTTTAAAAATTTTAGGATGTTTTTAGTTTTTGCTATTAAAAATACTACATTGATGAGCAATTCAGCTGATTGCACTTGTGATATATTATATTTCTGACTATCATTTTGGGGTAGACTCCTAGATAGGTTAAAGAGTATGAATGTTTTTAAGGCTCTTAATT